TATATATATATATATATATATATCAAGGCATGGTTTTAGTCAGAACTCCACTTCTTTTTCAAGCAGTAATTATTCTGGAGTTTTTTGTGTATGGTTTGTTTGTTTGTTTTCAGGTCATAGATGTGACACTGATGTCTCTACTGAAGCCATGTATGCTGCAACCAGACGAGAAGGGTTCAATGATGTGGTGAGAGGAAGAATTCTCTCAGGAAACTTTTTCTTATTAAAAGAGTAAGATAATCAGTTTAGGAATTTTCCCCATTCTGGAAACCTCAAGAGTCAAGTACATACTGACATGTCTGTCAGTCTTACAATTAGAGATATTTACCCCAAAAAAGAAAAGAAAAAACAACCTTATGATTTGAATGAGAAAAAAAGCCTGTTTATGGCATTTTAGTTTTTGATAGTAAAACACAAAGAATAATAGTGCTCTTACTGATACAAACTAAGTGAGAAGCCTTTAAGGATTTTAGCCTCATTGCTCTAAGAGCTTTAAGTAGGAAGTTATATGTGAGGACTTGAAAAAGTTTATGGAAAAATGAAATTAAGGTACAAGTTTATTTTGGTGAAAAAAATTAAGGTTTGTGCACAGTTTTTCATTAATAGGCATTTTCCATGAACTTTTTGAAGACACCGTGTATATCTTGACAAATTTAAGTGAATCTACTTAGTTGTCTTTTATACTGTGCATTTGCTTGATTTAAGAAAGAATTCTAAATTACTATGACTCCTACTTAGATTGTCTCCAGTATACATTTATTTGTGACCTTGTGTACAAGATTCATCTTTTATACCACCAAGCCTCTATAAGAGGACACAAAAAGTGTGAAAAATAAGACTGGTTACTGTAATGAGTAAGTTCTTGGAGTTTTTCTCCATATCCTCAAGGACAGAAAGCTATTTTAACTTGACTTTGAGGTGATACCCTTGACATTTCACCAGCTGTCTCATATTATGAGGTCATTCCAAACTTTGGCTGTTGGAACACCAACTATCACCAACGAGTATAAGTGCTAGGAATTATTTGGTCCTACTGCTCTTTGGTGATCCTTTCCCCCAGCTTTGGAGGTTGCTTCTCAGATACGCATAGACTGGTTCTCAGCCAAAGATCTGAGGGATCTCTCCACAAATCTCTTGAGCTCTTTCTGTGGGCTGCTCCCTTCTATTTACTGTCTGTTTGGCAAATTCTGTCTCTGCCTCCCTGAAATTTGTATCTCTGTCTCTTCAACTTCCTGAGGACCTCCTCCCAACGCTGTTTAGGTTCCTTTTCTCTGTACCGAGACCTGAAACCTCCAGGCTGGGGACATCAAAAGGTTTACCTCATTTGCTTCTCTTCTCTAAGAATTCTGAAAATGGTTATTTCATATATTGATCATCAGAAAAGTCATGCCACATTTTCGACAAGAAAAATACGGCATGACTTTTCCAATAACCCAATATTTTGTCCAGTTTTCTAGTTTAAGAAGGCAAGGTATCTTAGTTCTTTTTTTCCTGCTATAATAGATAGAATACCTGAGATTGGGTAATTTATATTGAACAGAAAGTTATTGGTTCACAGTCCTGGAAGCCGGGAGGTTCAAGTCCCAGAGGGGCCAATATCTGATAAAGACCTTCTTGCTGCTCCATCCTGTGTAGAAGGCAGAAGAGTAAGAGAGAACAAGAGAACCTCATGGCTAACCCCCTCTTAAGGGTTCCACCTCTTGACATTTTACAACGGCAGTTAAATTTCACTGTGAGTTTTGGAGGAGAAGACATTCAAAGCATAGTACAGGGTAAATCTCTTTTTAATACTCCATCATAGTTGGAAGCAGAAGTTCTACTTTAAAACCATATTCTACAAGTGAAATGTAACAGAAACTAGAAGTATTTGTCCCTTTACAAATTTCAGGCTTTCGGAATGCTGTTACTGAGGTATTTAAACCACCATCTCTTAATGCTGAGCAACAACATTATTGTGTGAATTATAGGTGATGCCTGTGTTCACCTCTGTGTGGACCCCACGGTCAAATGATAGTAAGGGCATCTATTTGTACCACACTCTTCTAGGGTAAAAAAGATTTCAGTTAGTTCTTTTGCCAGCCTTCCTTAAGCCAGCCTCAGAAGGCTCTCAAAACTTATTTTCCCTTTTCTCTGCACCATTGACTTCTGGTCATTCCTATGTCTGGCTTTTTCCTTAACCTTTTTAGTAAAGTAAGCATCCTTTTTTTGAATTTATTTTTACTCCCATGCCTTGCCTATCCATAAGATACAAAATTGTAAACACTGCGTACTTTCCCCAGTTTCTGTTACCAGAACCTGTTTCCCAGGAATATTTCCTAGTATCTACTTCAGATGGCATGTAAGAAGTTGCAAAACCTCAGAGTCCTCATAATAGTTATCATTATACTATAGCTGAAATAAGACATTATAATAGAAAGGATTAGAATGAGCCTCTAAAGACATAAGTTCTAGTCTTCTCTACCACTGCCTATTTTTTAACCTTCAGAAAGTTATTTAATCGCTATGTACTTTTTTCCTTATCTGAAAATAAGTGTTCTGGTTTAATGATGTCCCTGGAAGAATTAATATTTTGTGATTCCGTGTGGAGAATTATATCTTGTAGTGAATTCTGATTGATAAAATTTCAGATATGCAAACTTTTAGAATAATGACACAGTCAAAAAAAAGTCATTTTAATGTGTTTTTAGGAATCTTAGTTATGTCTGCTCATAAAAGCCAAGAATCCAGTTGTTTATAAAATGCCTAATGTAAGAGAATTAATTAAAAGAAAAACACAAAAAGCCCTTAATGTATCATTTGGTTGTTTTCCACAGAAATTATGAGAATTATTTCATCAAAGCACAGAAAGTACGACGCCTCATTGCTAATGATTTTGTGAATGTTTTCAACTCTGGAGTGGATGTCTTGTTAACTCCCACCACCTTGAGAGAGGCAGTACCATACTTAGAGTTCATCAAAGAAGACAACAGCACACGAAGTGCCCAAGATGATATTTTTACACAGGCTGTAAATTTGGCTGGTGAGACTCCCTCAAGAACATTCTGGTTTTCTTCATATTCTTGGCTATTCAATACCTTGGTATTCAACTCAGCTTCTAACTAGATTGTTCCCTAAAAGTAATAACCTGTCTTTCTGGAATTCTTACGAGAGTGTGTGTGTGTGTGTGTGTGTGTGTGTGTGTGTGTGCATACGTACACATGCCCATGCGTGCCTCATGCACACATATACATGTATGTTCTGAACTAGTACACTTAGTAATGTATTTTTAAAGAATTATTTATTTAATTTAATTAATTAATTAATTTTACTTTGCCACAGAGCACCTGCTCTCACCAGAGAGAGACAGAAGGAGAAAGGAAAAGTGAGAAAACAATCCCCCGGATCTAGGACTTGAACTGCAGTCAGCCAGATTCAATGTGGGAATCCAGCATCTTAACCACCATTCCACCTGCTGGCCCCTTAGTAGTATATTTTGATTTAGAAATTTTTATGTCCTACAAAAATAAAAGTGAAAAAGTAGTAGGATTGGGAGCCAGCAGGTGGCGTGGTGGTTAAGGGTGCTGGACTCTTGCGTGGCCAACCACAGTTTGAGTCTCAGACATAGTGGCTGAGGTTATCACTCCCCCCATCCCCCTCTGACTCTCTGGTCAAATTTAAAATAAATAAATAAATAAAGTTAAATAAAATAATTAATTTTTAAAAATCGTAGGATGAACACTGATACGCCCTTTACCTGGATTCATTCTTGTTAATAATTGCTTCATTTGCTTTCTCTTCATACATATACACAGTTGTTTTTTTGTTTTTTTTTTTTTTTAGAGAGAGAGATTTTTGCTATAGGATGTATGCATGCACCAGAGAGACAGAAGGGAGAAATCACCGCCCGGGAGGAGGACCATGCTGCAACCTCTTCTCCTCCATTCTCCTCTCAGGATTTTGGGCATGCACGCACACTTGAGTTTTAAGCCACCAGATCCATCTAGGACTCGAACTGCAATTGACTACATGGGAGTCCAGCAATGTAACCATTACACCATCTGCTGGTCCCACACGCTTGGTCTTAAACTGAATCATCTGAAAGAAGTTTCAGAAACCACAGCACTTTACCTCTAAATATTTCTGCACAAATCTTGTAACAATAAAGGCACAATTTCTCATTAATATGGTAGTGAGTATTCCTGCCTGTCATACAGGAGATTAGAGTTCAGTTCCCTGACAGAGAGGCACACAATTTATTTGGAACCAGCAGATCCCAAGTACCGAGATTCTTTCTGTTATCGCTTCTTTCTCTTCAGAGAAATTTCTTTAGCCATTCTTTTTTGTTTTTTAATTATTATTTATTTAATTTTACTTATATTTTTCATTTATTTTAATTTGACCAGAGAGAGAGACAGACAGAGAGAAAGAGGGAAAGTGAGAAAGCAAGCCCTGAGGTCCAGGACTTGAACCATAGTCAGCCATGTGGGAGTCCAGTGTCTCAACCACTCTGCCACTTGCCTGCCTCTCCTTTATCCATTCTTTAAAGGGTATGTTTGTTTGCAAAAAACAAACAAGGACTCTTAGCTTTCCGTCCAAGAATGTTTTGATTTTCCTTTCTTTCTTTTTTTTTTTTGTTTCGTTTTGTTTCTTTTTTTAAACTGCCGGAGAGTACACGCACTTGCGAAAAGGAAGAGAGAGGGAGAAAGGACACCCGAGTGGGGCACGGTCCCACTATACAATCCCTTCTCCTCCATTTCTCCATCGTTTCAAAATTCGCACTCATGTCCAGTGTGCTTTTTAAGCCTCTGGGCTGGGATTTAAACTATGGTGGTCCAAGGCCAGCAGGTGATATAGTGGTTAAGGCACCGGACTCCCACTTGGCTGACCACAATTCGAATCCCAGACCTGGAGGCTTGAAACTTATGCCGGGTGTGTGTGCATGCATTCCCAAAATTCCGACAGGAGAATGGAGAAGAAGGAATTGCAGTGCGACCATTACCCCTGGGGGGGTGATTGCTCCCTTTCTCTTTTTCTGTCTTCTGCAAGCACACACCCTATAGCAAAAATCTTTCTTAAAAAAAAAAAAAGAAAAAAAAAGAACTATAGTGGTCCATGTAACGGATACAGCTCCCTTAACAACTGTGCCACGGGGCCAGCCTCCCCCTTCATTTTTAAAGATATTTTTTCTGAATATAGGATTTTGGTTCAACTGTCCTTATCTTTTTTTTTTTAAGAATTATTTTATTTAGCTTTATTAATCTATCTATCTATCTATTTATTTTTGTATTTTAATTTGATCAGAGAGGGACAGAGTGAGAGAGAGAAAAAATGAGAAAGCAAGCTGCCAGGTCTGGGACTTGAACTGCAGTTGGCCATGTGGGAGTCTAGCACCCTTAACCACCATGCCACCTGCTGGTGCCTAACTGTCCTTATCGTTAGTACTTGAAAAATAATTGTGCTGGGGCCAGCAGATGGTGTGGGACTTAAAGGTGCTAGACACCCACACAGCTGACCATGGTTTGAGTCCTGGACCTGGTGGCTTGAAAAATCACACCATGTATGTGTGCATACTTACCCAAAATCCCAGGAGGAGACTAGAGGAGAAGATATTGCAAAGTGGCCATCTCCCCAATGGGGTGATTTCTCACTTTCTCTCTCACTGTTTCTCTCTCTCTCTCCCTCTGGTAACTGCATTCACCTTTAAAAAAAATTATGGGACCACCAGATGGCATAATGGTTATATCACTGGACTCCCACGTGGTTGACTGCAATTTGAGTCCTGTACCTGGCACCTTAAAATTCACTCTGGGCATGTGTGTATGCATGTGATGCATGTGTACTCAAAATCCTGGGTGGAGGATGAAGGAGAAGAAATTGTGGTGTGGCCTTCCACCAGGGGGGTGATTCCTTGGTTGCTGTCTCTCTGTCTCTCTCTGTCTTTCCAGCAAGCACATACACCCAGCAAAACTGGAAAAAAAAAAAAAAATTGTGCCACTTTCTTCTTCCTTGCATCGTTTTTGATGAGATATCCCCTGCTTTTAATAATTCTCTATTAAGTGACATTGACTTTTTTGAAGAATTCTGTCCACTTGTCCTGTAGGAAGTCTCATCCATAATCTGGATTTGTCAGATTATTTTCTCATGATTAGGTTGAATGAAACACTCTTGGGCAGAAATACTACGTATTCTTTATATCAGTAAAGACATTTTACTGCCATAAAATAATACACCAGTGTTTTTTTGTCCCACTTTTGGAAACTATGTTGATCACTTGGTTAAGGAAGTTACTGCCAGATGTTTTTCTTTTATCACTGATAAGCAATTTATGGAGTAATACTTTGAGACTATGTGAATATCCTATTCCCCAATTACCTTGAACCCAATCTTAGTATTCATGCATGATCTTCACATGAATTTATTACTACCTAAAGAATTACAAAATGCTCACTTTTCTAATTCTATAATTTCTTCATTTATTAGCAAGCAGTTTTATCTAAAGAAGAGCATTCCCTTAAAAAAAACAATATATTATAAGCAACTACTTTGTTATCACTTTTGATACTCAAATTGTCCTAAATTCAGCTGATAAGAGCTCCTTTAGACCTGTCCCCATTACCTTTTGAAAATCTTTTCTGTCTTATGGCATAACAAGATGTCCCTGGAATCTTGTACTTTCTCTGCCCCAAACCTGGAATTAAAATACCCTGAGCTTATTTCCCATCTAATAGATTGGCAAAAATTCAGAAGCGCAACAGCACACTCTGTTAGCCAGGCCATAGGAAAAGAAGTACTTATTTTGCTGGTGGGAATTCAAAATGGACAACTTAAATGAAAACAAAAAACACTTTATAGGGCTGGGACCTTGGCCCAGTGGCTAAGGAAGCCTAATCCCACATGGTGGACCCCATAGTTTGAGTCCTGGACTCCTCAGCTCGAGAAACACACTGTGCGTGTGTGCCCAGAATCTAAACAGGATGGAGAAGTGAAGGAGTGCAGCGTGACCGTTCCTCATGGGGATGCCTCCCTTTCACCCCCTTTTTTGTCTCTCTCTGGCAAGTACACATATCCTCTGGCAAAATTATAAACAAAACAAAAAACGATATAGTCAAGTACTATACAGCTGTTTTTTTAAAAAATAAATAAAAAGTAAAAGTCTCTGTGAACTGATACAGAGTGATTTCCCAGATTAAAAAAAAAAACTTATTAAACTTTATTTATTTATTTATTTATTTTAATTTGACCAGAAAGAGAGAGAGAAGAGAGAGGGAAAGTGGGAAAGCAAGCCACCAGGTCCATGTCTTGAACTGTGGTCAGTCATTTGGGAATCCAGTGGCCTTAACCACCATGCCACCTGCCGGCCCCTCCCAGATTATTGTTAAGTGAAGAAGCATGGTGCAAAAGCATGTACATAGTATATTTTGTCATTTTTCTAAACCTTATCCCAATCTGTACCTATTAGCACTATAAAGCAAAAGAGCTCTTTGCTTCTTAGGATGGAGAATTAATCAACTAATGGGCTTCTCTTTTTTTTCTCAGGATTGCCAGCAGTGAGTGTCCCAGTGGCACTCTCAAACCAGGGGTTGCCAATAGGACTGCAGTTTATTGGACGTGCATTTTATGACCAGCAGCTTCTTACGATTGCGAAGTGGTTTGAGAAAAAAGTGCAATTTCCTGTTATCCAGCTTCAAGAATTCATGGATGATTATTCATCAGTCCTTAAAAATGAAAAGTTGACTTCTGTTTCTCTAAAACAGTAGTAATAAATATGCTATGCAAATTATAAGGACTTTCAAAGATTCTGTAGAGAATCAAATGATCTAAGTCAATTCTTTTAATTAGGTTTGTTTTCAACATAGTCATTCCTTGGAAGCATTTTCTTTTTTTGGAGAAGTTTTTCTTACTGGGCGTGTGCACTCGCCAGAAAGACAGGGAGAGAGGAAGAGAGATTGAAAGTGAGAAATCACCCCCTGGGGGGATGGCCACTCCGCAATCCCTTCTCCTCCATTCTCCTCCCAGGATCTTGGGTACTCAAGCACGCACGCACACACGCCCAGCGTGAGTTTAAGCCACCGGGTCCGGGACTCGAACCGTGATTGACTACATGGGAGTCCAGTGACATAGCCATTATGCTAACTGCTGGTCCCTGGAAGCATTTTTAAAACTGCTTGTGATACAGTTAATTCATTATGATGTGTTAGTATTAATTAAGCATCCTCTAAGTACAAAGATTTCTACTGTAAGAGGTCACTAGGTGGCGTGGTGGTTAAGGGCCCTGGACTCCCACATGGCCAGCTGCAATTTGAGTCCTGGATCTGACAGTTAACTTTCTCACTTTCTCTCTCTCTGTCCCTCCCTGGTCAAATTAAAAATAAATAAATATGACTTCTACTGTAATACGAGGTACATGTTCCTGAAAATTTCTGCATTCCACAAAAATTTCTATTGAAAAGAACAGAGCTTATAGTAAAAATAAGATTAGGATTGAACTTCTCAAAACGTGTATATCTTTGAAGCACCAACAAAAACAGTGATTGTACCTCCAGAGACGACCTGTTTAGCCCAGGCAGGCAACTCATGTGGTGAAGGCTGCCTCAGGGGATGAGTAAAGTGCACGAAATCAGGCCCAGCCATGGTGGTGTGAGCAAGAGAGTCTGCTGCCTAGCCCAGCCTAGCCAGGATGAGGGCAGCGGTGCACACTGCTAGGAGTGGTCCTAGCTAAACTAGGAGTCGGGCAGGAGGGTTGTGACATGGAGGAACCCCATCAGAAAAAGTACCCAACTCCCTCCTGTGTTCTCTCTCAGTCACTAAAAAATAAAAATAGAGGCCAGCAGATGACATAGTGGTTACATCACTGGACTCCCACATGACCGACCTTGGTTCGAGTCCTAGACCTAGCAGCTTGAAACTCACTCTGGGCTTATGTGTGTGTGCACCCAAAAATCCCGAGGAGAATGAAAGAGAAGGGATTGCAGCATGACCATCCCCTCCAGGAGGTGATTTTTCACTCTCTGTCTCTCTGTTGAGCACATGCACCCTAAAGCAAAAATCTCTTAAAAAAAAATAATAATGATAAAATCAATCAAGTGGGAATATCAACTACTGAGCAAAGCTGCTGCAAAAAGAGCCCAGAGCAGAGGAGGGAGTGCAGCCTGCTGGAACCTGGAGTCATGCAAGACTGCTGGGGGATGGCCATGCCTCTCTGGGGAGGAGCCCCAGGTGCAAGCACTCCTTTTATTTCTCTGAAAATAGATATGACATGACTGAGAAGTTTCCTTTCCTCAGAGTTCAAGTTTTACTTCTATTCCAGAGCCCATGCCTAAGCACCAGAACAATTCCATGTTAACACTGAGCTCCATTTACTAATCACAAATGAGCTCATTGATGTAGATGTAATTTCTTGTAACCTAACAAACCATTTTGGACAGGATACTTGGTAGATGGTAGAACGTGGTTTTAGTGAGAAAGGTTCTAAATACACAAGTGATATACAATCTGAAAAACTTGCAGAGGTTTTGGCGAGGTTGCCAAAGAGAGGAAGCCGGTGTCAGGATCCTCCCTTACTCCAGATTCTTTGTTCCTTATGGTTTCCTTATTCTCTTGACTGTCTTTTTAATTATTATTATTAAAGAATTATTTTCTTTAACTTTATTTATTTTTAAGTTGATCAGAGAGGGCCAGAGTGAGAGAGAGAGGAAAAGTGAGAAAGCTAGCTGCCAGGTCTGAGACTCAAACCTCGGTCGGCCATGTGGGAGTCCAGCACCCTTAACCACCATGCCACTTGCTGGCCCTACTCTTGACTGTCTTCACGAGAGTTCTCTGGGCCCCTCGAGCCCAAAGAAACATTAATGAGGTCAGTATTCACTGGTGGTTTCTGTGAGGAAATACCAGCACCTTCTAATGTCAATAAGTACCTTTAGGATTTTCTAGCAGAGTGTGAAGACAGTATGAAGAGATATGGTTACTAGATCACCAGCAAGGCAACCTTGGGGCTCAGCAAGCTGTATGTCATGTCCTGTTCCACTCAAAGCAAAGAGGCAAAATTATGGAATTTGTAAAATAGCTTTTATTAACTTTTTTTTTAATGCCAGAGAGATTATGCATGCACGAGAGAGAGAGAGAAAGCACTACCTAAAGGGCCTGTTCGTATCTCAGTCCCCTTTCCTCCCGTCCTCCCTTTGTTCAGGATCCTGAGCATGCACATGCATGCCTGGCATGCTTTTCAATCCACCAGGGCTAAGTCTTAAACCACAGTCAGCCATATGGGATCCAATTCCCATTATACAGAGTTTAACCACTGCACTGTGAGGCTGGCCCTCGTTAACTTCTTTTAGTCTCCCTTTCCTCAAACATCTGATTATCTTTGCTAGGACTAATGTGTTCTGTTGCCGTCCACCATAAAGCCCACTCTCATACCATACTCCAACCCATCCCCAAAGGTATCTTTACTCATCATATAGCTCATGGTCTTATGAGACACGCCTCCCCCCCACCCCCAGTCCCTTCCTAACAGGGCCTTCTTTTAGACAGTAGGATTCATGCCAGTAGTTAAGGTAAGACCTTCACAAAGAACCCAGTCTGAACTAAGATGGAGCCTGAAAGAACCACTGCCCAACATTTAAACTTATTATACCCTCATTAGCATGCTAGGTAGCACATCCACCAGTGCCATGGCAGTTGGAAATCTAATCAGAAATGGCCTTATAGGAAAAAAAGAGGGGGAATATTTTAGCATTCTGAGAAGTATCCCCTTTTCCAGGAAAAGCTCTGAATATTCCTCTCTTCCATTACTCAGTCCCATTCCCCTATTACCCTATTTGCTACATCTTAAACTCCCCAGCTCACAATGGGAGAGAAGGTGATTTGTGAGCTGAGCTCCCTCTTCATTCCTCGGCCACTGATAAAACTAGTGCCGTGAAACTTGAAGTTGACTCCATGACACTGAACAGCAAAAGATCCTGTCTTTGGGGATAATTAAAATTGGTATCACTGTCTGTACAAGCCCAGGGTAAAATGTACCCATTGTTTTTAGAGGCACCAGAGGTAGCTTAAAATAGGAGACTGTCCTCAGTTTTTCATAACTTGGGTGGTATATATACACTAGAAATTAAAGCTGAAATTTTTAATAAAGGCAAATACATGAGAAAAATCTCATCTTCACTAAATAGAAGTAATTATTACAGAATTGCCAAGCGGCTTTCTTTATTTTTTCTTTATATCAATGCAATATAAATCAAAAAGGATTTTAGTGAGTTTATTAAAATTATTACAGTGGGAGGGCAGCAGGTGGCATGGTGGTTAAGGCACTGGACTCACATGGCTGACTGCAGTTAAAGTACTGGACCCAGTGGCTTAAAACTCACACCAGGCACATGTGCATGCATGCCCAAAATCTCAAGAAGAGAATGGAGGGGAAGGGATTGCAGTATGGCCATCCCCCTGGGGGGTGATTTCTTACTTTCTGCCTCTCTGTCTCTCTATGTCTCCCTGGCAAGCACACGTGCCCTATAGCAAAAACATCTCCAAAAAAAGAAAGAAAAAAAAAAAAAAAAAAAACATGTGTGTATAAAAGTAAATAGATGAGGAAAATGTTGAAGTAATAGTAAAAATTGGGAAGAAAGTAAACAGGAATAAAATGAAAACCAAAAGTGCTTTTCTAGAGTTCTGAAGATGTGATGGTGGGGAGGATGGGGTGGGTGCTAGAGACTGTGAGTGCGGAAAGTGGTTGGTGGAGAGAGGGTGGTGGATGGTGGGTGTGAGAAAAAAAATTTAAAAAAGCTTTCTTAGGTATCTATACAGATATTTAAGGCTATAAAGCGTGTGGTATAAATAAATGTGAAATTTTCCAGTTGCTTTCCTAAAGGGGTAAGGCCACCAGATTTTAAGAATCAGATTAAATTGTGTTTGAATCCTGTGTTGCCGTTTATGAGCTGTGCAACTTGTCTGCATTTTGGTATCCCAAACTGTGAAAAAGGGATAATATCTACTCCATTGGGTGATCGGAAGGATTAAATTGAAATGATGTGCTGAAAGCATCCAGCATGATTCCTAACAGAGGAAGCACACAGTATTTGTAGCTATAAATAAATGCATGCACTCATGAAGTTAAGGCACTTTCCTACAGAGACCTCATGATAACCTAATGGCAGATGGCCGTGGTGTAACTTACTGAAAATTTGAGCCTGAGACTAGTTAAATACTTCCCTAATGTTCTGGTTCCTCTGAAGATAAGTTTAAAATACCTAGAAGAACTGATACACTGCATATTTTTAAAGCACTTTCCATAAGCTTTTAATAAAGAACCGGCTACCACAAGGTTCAAAAACCTGAAGCTCTTGGGAACCAGCAGTTAGCGGAATGGCTATGTTGCTGGACTCCCACGTAGTCAACCGCGGTTCGTGTCCCAGACCCGGTGGCTTAAAACTCACGCCTGGCGCGTGTGCGTGCGTGCCCAAGATCCCGAGAGGAGAATGGAGGAGAAGGGATTGCAGCGTGACCATCCCCCCTGGGGGGTGATTTCTCGCTTTCTGTCTCTATGTCTCTCTCTGTCTGTCTGGCGAGCGCACGCGCCCTACAGTGAAAATCTCTCCAAAAAAAAAAAAAAAACAAAACCTGAAGCTCTTCACAGCTCCTTGTGCTCTGTCTACCAAATGAAGGGCAGGACCAACAGGCTCTTGTAAGAATGGGGACTCCCAGGCAGCTGATGGCATGGTGGTTAAGACAGCTGGATCCCACATAGCTGACTATGCGGTTTGAATCCCTGGAGGAGAAGGGATTACAACA